AAAATATGTTCACCCCATGTCAACATCTCCAAAAGTCTCAACTCATTACAGGTTCAATTCCAAATCCAAAATCTCATCTATGTATAATATCCACTCAAAAGTCCCAAATTTTGTCAGGCACCAAAGCTCATGCCTGAAATCCTAGCTACACAGGAGGCTGAGATCAGAAAGATTAGTTTGAGGCTAGGCCAGAAAAAAAAGTTCTCAAGACCCATCTTCACCAATAGCTGGGCACATTGGTACACACCTGTCATCCCAACTATGCAGGGGGATAAGCTGGGGAGGATCATGGTTCCATCCAGGGCAAAAAAAGTTAAGAGACCCTATCTCAATGGAAAAAAGCTATGTGTTTTAGCCTATACCTGTTATCCAAGCAATAGCAGAAAGCTTAAAATAGGAGGATCAAGGTAGGTCTGGGCTGCCAAAGCAAAAGAAGCAAGACCTTATCTCCAAAATAACCAGGGCAAAAAGCTCTGGAGGGATGGCTCAAGCAGTGGAGCACCTGCCTTACAAGCACAAAGCCCTCTGTGTCCAGTACCACAAAAAAAAAATAAATAAAAGTCTCATCTCATTTAAGATTCTAGATATGACTCATTGTAGGATTTGTAAACCTATGAAACTAGAAAAAAGTTATCTACTTCCAAAATACAATGATGTATGGGACAGACATCTCATTCCAACGGAGAAATAGTAAAAGGACTAAAGAGGCTACCAGTACCAAATTCAGTTGGGTAAATTCCTTTAGGTTTCAAGGCCTTCAAATAATCCTTTGTAGCTTCTACTTTCTGGGTCTGTGACAGAACCCCCACAAAACTCTGTGCTCTTGGAGTCATCCTTCCTTTTTTGTTTTTAAAGGAAAGGATAGATTTGCTCTATCAGACAGTTTTCTGCCTATAGAATCCCAGATGTCCAACAGTTTTCTTTCATTTCCTTCTGTCTCTACCCTTTTCAGTTCAAATTCAGTTTCTATACAACATTCTCAAAAGATACTGTGCCTTCTAGTATGTTATAGAGGTGAATGTGACTCAACTAGATGGTCCCTCCAGAGATCTTTCCTGGATAGACCCATTTCTAGCCTTGGCATCTGCTGAGATGGCTGCATCAATCCATGCGTACCCACTTAGGCAAAAAGTTGACCCTCAGTCCAGACATGCTTTTCCAACAGTGATTTTTCCTAATTCTAGCATCCTATCTGATCTACATGGTTATGAGAACTTACCAAATCATCAGATGCTTGTTCCTTTCTTTTTAACAATTATTTCTCCCACTTACTCCCTCCTTCATAACTATAAGCAACAAGGAGCAATATGGCTGTATCATCAATATTTTGCCTAGGAAATTCATCTAAAATATTCATGTTCATCACTTAAAAGCTCTGCCTTCACCCAACAATAGAACACAATTGAGCCAAGTTTTCTGCCATTTTATAACAAGGATTGCCTTTCCTCCACTTTCTACTAAACATTCCTGACTTTCTTGTGGAACCTAAAGATTAATGTGAATATTTCTACAATGTTCTGTTAATAACAATATATGTTTTGCTTTAGACAACAGAAGCTTTCTCATCTATGCTCTTCACTTTCTTCTGAGTCCTCACCAGTATAACCTTCAATATTTATATTTATACTAGCCATCTTTTCAAAGCAGTATAAAATTTTTCTATTATGTTTTTCAAAATTATTTCAACCTGTAGCCATGACCCAATTTCAAAGTCACTTTCACATTTTTAGATGGTTTTGTTTGGATTATAGCAGGAGCCTTCTTTCCAATAACAAACTATAATAGTTTCCTATGGCTCCTTGGTTGAAGAAGCTATCAGTCTTACTCTGAAGACTTTTGGAGAATTCCTTCTCTGCCTCTTCCAGCTTGTCATAGTTTCATGGATTCCTTAGTTTAGGATAGTGTAACTCCAGCCTCTGCTTCTATCTTCACATAACCTTCACTGTATCTGCATGCCTCAAACTTACCTGTCTTTTCTCTTCTAAGGACACCAGTCATTGTATTTAAGACCTTCCCTAAATCCAGGATGATCTCAATCAAGATCTTAAACTTAATTAATTACAGATGCAAAGACCATATTTCCAAATAAAGTTATGTTCAGAGGTACCAAGGAAATACTGGGGTGGCTGGCAAAGTTCTATTTTTGTTTTGTTTTGTTGGCAGCCCTAGGGTTTGAATTCAAGGTTTCTCACTTGCTCAACTGGCACTTTACCACCTAAGCTGCACCCTTAGCCATGTTTACTTTTTTAGTTATTTTTTAGGTAGGGTATCACTTTCTTTCTTCTGGGTTTTTTTTTTTTTCTTTTTCCGGATTATTTATTTATTTATTTATTTATTTTGCCCAGGCAAGCATGACTGCAATCCTATTTAGGTCTCCCACAGAACTGGAATCACAGGTACATGTCACATAAAGGTGAGAGGTTGTTCTTTCCCACATGTAATCATGTAACTGTAGTAGTTTACATGGCTCTGCATGTTTAATTGTAGTACATGACCAAAGTCTTTAGCAGCATTTCTTTTTTTTTTATTTATTTTTATTTTTTTTTATTATTCATATGTGCATACAAGGCTTGGTTCATTTCTCCCCCTTGCCCCCACCCCCTCCCTTACCACCCACTCTGCCCCCTCCCGCTTCCCCCCCTCAATACCCAGCAGAAACTATTTTGCCCTTATCTCTAATTTTGTTGTAGAGAGAGTATAAGCAATAATAGGAAGGAACAAGGGGTTTTGCTGGTTGAGATAAGGATAGCTATACAGGGCATTGACTCACATTGATTTCCTGTGCGTGGCTGTTACCTTCTAGGTTAATTCTTTTTGATCTAACCTTTTCTCTAGTACCTGTTCCCCTTTTCCTATTGGCCTCAGTTGCTTTAAGGTATCTGCTTTAGTTTCTCTGCGTTAAGGGCAACAAATGCTAGCTAGTTTTTTAGGTGTCTTACCTATCCTCACCCCTCCTTTGTGTGCTCTCGCTTTTATCATGTGATCAAAGTCCAATCCCCTTTTTGTGTTTGCCCTTGATCTAATGTCCACATATGAGGGAGAACATACGATTTTTGGTTTTTTGAGCCAGGCTAACCTCACTCAGAATGATGTTCTCCAATTCCATCCATTTACCAGCGAATGATAACATTTCATTCTTCTTCATGGCTTTTAGCAGCAGTTCTGCTGAAAGAATAACACTTGGTGAGAGACCTGGTGGAAAACTAGCACCTACTGATAGGGGAATTAACTGCAGCATCTAGCAGGAGACCTTTAGTGTCACTTGAAGTGGAGGGATGGTGAACCAAACTGCAGTATTAAGCAAGGATACATAAACTAATAAATGGCTGAATAGAATTCACATTCAGGTATTATGGATTCAAAGCACAATACCTTAACCACTAAGCCATTATATTTCTCAAAAATTAATGCTACTAATATAATAATAATAAACAGCCATTGTGAATGATCATTTTACGCTGTTGGGGCACTAAACACAATATGCCAAAGTATGATGCCTTGGTATGCTGAGCACTTCAAACTAAAAGAGACTGAGAAGGCCTCAGAAGCAAGGTCTGTTCCTGTCTCCCTTTTCCCTCGCTCATTTGTTCTCCCCACTTGAGTCACAGAAACTAGAAACCAGAATTCCCAGCTGGGCATGGTGGTTCACGCCTGTGATCCCAGCACTCAGGAGGTGGAGGCAGATAGATGGAAAGTACAAAGCCATCATGAGCTACAGAGCAAGGACCTGTGTCAACCCCCTCCACGCCCCTCTCCCCAATTTCTCTCTCTCAGGAAAAAAAGTCAATTACTGACCTTCCCTGACTTTCTGTTTGAAGCTTGATCAGAAAGGAACTTTTTGAGCTACCTCATCTGAAAGTAAGTAGGAAGGCCTCCTTTCAGAAGGGTACTTCCCTGTGTCCAGAGTCTAAGAGGAATCTGAGGTGTTTCTTATCATTAGGTCATGACCTTTTTGTCCAATCATGTTTGTCCACAACTGCTCACTTTTTTCATCAGACTTAGCATAAAAATACAATTATCTCTGGGTCTTCATTTGTGAAGACTCTCCTGTCTTCACATAAAAGTGTGTTAAATAAATTATTATGCTTTCATCTTGTCAATGTTTTTTAAATAGGGTCATCACCTATGAACTTTGCAATGGATGGGGAAAAGATTACTTTTTTCCTTCAAAATGGGCTCAGGGCTTTACACACATGTACTCAAACCATTTTGTCCTGCGGCCATTGTGAATAAGCGTTTGCATCACTTCATGGTCAGAAACAAAGCTGCAAATTTTCCTCTAAGCACTGCTTTGGCTGCACACACAAAAACCCCGCCTTTCTCCTCGTCCTCCCACCCCCTCCTCCCCTTCCCCGGCTCTGGGGTTTGCTGTTGAGGCAGGGTCTGGCTATGCAGCCCAGGCTGACCTCACAGGGTTTTGGTATGCTCTACCTTTACTGTCACTGAGTTAAATAGCTTCTTTCATTTTCCCTGCGGATTTCAGGACCCCGTATCCTTGGTATATTGTTTCTACAACAATACGTGGAACGTGGAAATCTCCACTTTTCTTGCTTGTAGTTTAATCCTACTGTGGTCATAGTGTGCGTGCTCTGAGTGTGCAGGGGTTAATGTTCGATTTAGGACACGAGGTTTCCTCTACTTCCCACTACAAGAGCTGGCTGGCTGAGCCCACACCACGTACTAAAGACGCCTTCAAAGTGTCATCCCAACCCTAACCAACCGGTGGAGAGTGAGTTCTATTTGTCTTTCTGCTACCTCTTTCCCTTCGCTATTTCAAAATTCCGCAGCTCTGGCCTCCAATTAAAAACGCTCGGGTTGCTGTCAGGCTCGGCGGTGCCCCTCCGGCTCCTTGACTACGAGCGAAGACCCGCGCAGCGCTGAGGCGACGGCGGTCGGCCAGGGCGAGGGGCGTGGCCGCGCGGCGTGCTGACGTCACAGAGGGCCGCGACGCCGGCGGGGCTGCGGGCGCTGACGACGGCGGGCGTCAGTGGTCGGGGTGCGGAGCAGGGCCTGGGCAGCGGCGGGGCCGTAGGACCTCTCGCGGTGTCCGCGGGCGCCGGGGCGGGGGCTCCAGCGGCGAGGCCCCCTCCCCGGGGAGGCGGGGCCTGGGCGAGCTCCCGTGTAGGGAGCGGCGGGCCCGGGAACCATGCATCAGAAGCTGCTGAAGAGCGCGCATTACATCGAGCTGGGCAGCTACCAGTACTGGCCGGTGCTGGTGCCCCGCGGCATCCGCCTCTACACCTATGAGCAGATCCCCGTGTCCCTCAAGGACAACCCGTACATCACCGACGGCTACCGGGCCTACCTGCCCTCCAGGCTGTGTATCAAAAGGTAGGGCCCGGCGCGCCCCCTCTTTTCCCACCTGCACCCTTTTTGTCTGCTGTCCCCGCCGCTTTCCGTTTTTTTTCTCTGCCTGTCATTCCTGCTTCCCCATGCTTTCATTTTCTGTCGCCTGTCTTTGCCTCCCACCCTACCCCCAGCCCCGCCGGGCACTTGGTCCACGGAATAATGTTGATAGTAACAGTGGTCGTCAATGCCAATTCTCCTGTAACGCCTTGCTGTTTACAAAGAGCTTTTCCGTCCTGTGTTCCATTTGGTGCTCTTTGGAATTGACCCCACTGACAACGCTAAGCCATTATATACCCTGAGTATACCTGAGGTTTGTTTCTTCTTAGAGCAGACCCGTGGGAATTCAGATGACTGTGTAATAGGAAACAAGCTCACATTGCCATACATACATATTTAGAAAGCCCTGACTCATTCATTTAGCAAATAACTTAGGCAGCTCCTGGTAGGTGCTAGGTACTGTACCAGCCTGCCGAGAACAGCACACGTGGTCCTTGTTCCCATGAAGCTACTAAGGTCTAGCCAAGTGACACCCACTAAAGAGATAATTACATTATTACATAATAGCCATTGTGGAAAATTCTGTGTAGAAAAGGTCCAATAGCAAAAGAACTATCAAAGAGCACCCTAGAAGCATCTCTGAGAAAGTGAGTTTTTTTTAAAACCAGGGACCCTTGAAAGCCTGTTGGTTTTTTTTAATCTGCAAATTGCTCTTCTAGTTTTTAGAATACCTTTCTGTCAAAATTCACTGTAAGTACTAAAGTCCTCACTTTAGCAGAATTAAGGTGGAATATAGTCTGTTGAATGACTCAAGCAGTAACCACATGTCTGTTTCTCAATCTTCTTTCAACCTGGTCTTTCCCATTATTTTTTTTCCCTAGTTTGAAAGTATTTCTGTGACTCACAGTAGCAACAAGACATCACTGTCCATCACTACGGCTTGAGTGGATGGCCAACAGGACTTCACAATTTGAATCCTAACTACTACTTCTCTCCCCAGTGCCTTCTGTGCATGAATAATTACATAAGAAATCAGAGGAGGGTCCTGCTGTGGAGATTGAGTTTCAGGAAGATAAGGCAGGCAAAAATATTGCCTTAAATATTTTATACCCACCTAGCAATGGTCTTTTGTATTCTGATAGTAGAGTCCAAATCTCAAGGCGTAGGAAATGAAGTATAAAGCTTTAGATTATGCATTGTTGGGTCAAAAAGAAGAGTATCTATATTTGTCACTTAATAGCTGTGGACCGTAAGCAAAAGTTAGCTTCCCTGAGCCTTATTTTCCATCCTGTAAAAATAAGGACAATCACAATCCTATAAAAATAAGGACATGAATCTGATTCATGGGGTAGTAATGGTTAAATACTACTCTGGGCCTAGCACATTAATAGGAATTCAGTAAATTGTGCTGTCATCCCCAGTGAGTCTGAACATGATGGTGAAGAAGATGATTATTGATTTGGAAGCTTTAATTTGGAAGAGTTTGGGGTTGCCTAACTTCATGCAATAAAAGTAGATCCTTGGCTGGGGATATTCTTCCAAGTGATCTTCACACCAGTTTGGTCTTTCCAGGTCTAGCCTTTGCTCTCTCTTCTTTTAGCTTTCTGTTAGTTGGAAGGAGCATGGAAAGAGTGTGTTAAGTTATGAAAATTTCTGAGGCAGTAGGCAGAGTGTAGTATTGACTTTCAAAGCAGTCCTGTAGTTAGAAGTTTTCTGGAACACTCTCATATCCCTTCCCCCAATTATAGGTGGTCTTTATATTTTATGCTGTACAAGATAAAGTCTGAGTTTCATGATACAAGATTCACTTTATTCTTGGTGGTCATTAGACAGCTTGAAACATTGCCATGTTTATCACTTGTAAAAATGACAGCCATTGTGATTGCTACAAGTTCAGTAGATTAGAGTTTTACATTGATGCTCACTCATAAGGATTTCTGATTCAGTTACAGTCAAGTTTAAGCCAAAAGATTATACTTTGCTAGAGGAGTACAATAAATCTGAAGGAACACATCTGAAAAACAAAATTAAGAAAGGAGTTGGAAGGACGTAGCAGCAGCACCTAATCCAACTCCTTTATAGATGAAGAAACTGAAGCCAGGAGAAATTTACTTGCTCATGATTGTGGTGCTAATTTGTGGCCAGGGTTGGGGAGGGGGCAATGAATCTCTGGACTCTGGAACTGGTGGTACTCTCCACCATCCTGTGCTGCCAAGACAGGTTAGTAGTCAAGGAGTTTTAAAAGAGGACAAATAAAGTAGCTTTTTATGGTTCCTAAAAAGGATAAACTCATGCCACCTGCAAACTAGTTTGATATCAGAACATCCACAGCAAAGTTGGTCTAGCATGCTTATCTTAAAGAATGTTTCCAGTGGATCAATTTGTATTTATTCTGCTCTCTTAAGTTATTTAAGTTTGTTTTTTGTTCAATGAGTACTGAAAAAGGCATTTGAAGTTTGTGCCTAAATTTGTACTAAGCAACTTTTCGCATACCTAGTATTAACTATGTTCTAGCTGACATTCAGTTTCTATCTGCACACTTGGTTTTGTAGACATTAATAATCTGAACAAGGCACTCTGTGTGGAAAAGTGGTGTCATGCAGATGAATGGTGCTGGTGTCAGGGAGTTGCTGGGCTGGAGATGAGATGAATTTATCCGTAAATAACTAATGGAAGGAATGAAATAGTAAATATGAAAGTAAAGTTGAGCACCAAAAACTCTTAGCACTCCAGAATTAGTGGAGATGGGAAAAAACTTACAGAAAGATTAACTGACATAGCAAATTTAGAAAGGTATAGATAGGGCTAAATGGCTCAAAGTAAGCAGGTATTACCTAACTCCTGAAAATTGTCCCTAATCTTTGAATGCTGACAGCAAATAAGCCAGTATGAATCTGAGCTGCATATTTGTTTACTTTTCAGTTTGTTTATTTTATCTAATGAGACGGTAAACATCTGGAGTCATTTGCTGGGTTTCTTTCTCTTCTTCACCCTGGGAATATATGACATGACATCTGTGTTACCTTCGGCAAGTGCATCCAGAGAAGATTTTGTAATTTGTTCCATCTGCCTTTTCTGCTTCCAGGTGAGTCATTTCACAACCACTGTATTGACAAAATTCTTTCAGGCAGGCTTGGGCAGGTTGACCTTACTTCAGACCTATCGCTTAGTTTGAAGAGCTCCCCAAATGGCATCTGGGTTAGCTTGCTTGCCCCCATAACACAAGCACCATGAAGATCTGTTATTTTCATCTATTCGGGTGCTGTTAGAGTATATTTGAAATCCACTAAGTTTCAGAAATGAAAAAAAATTGGTTCTTCTATATCTATATCCCATGTTGACCTTAAACTCCAGATCCTCCTACCTCAGCCTCCTGAGTGCTGAGCTTATAGGTGAGCACTATCTTACTCTGCTCTTTAATTTTTTTAGGCATCTTTGCTTTAAGATTAACACCAGGATATGAATATCTGATTGTACACTATTTAATTTGTCTGAAGTAGATTACTAGTACATACTTAAAACCTGTTTGTGAAGATCTTTTCCCCATTTATACTATGTGATTTTTGTACTTGTTATTTCTATACTGCCTTTATTTTACTATGTACTTTCATGGGTATTGATCTTTGGTTCTATTCTTTTAATGTTAATTTCCTTTGATCCTTTCATAATTGCCTGGTTTTAAATATTTTCAATTTCTGTTCCTCTGTAATTCTTGTATTTGTCGGCTCCATTGCATTTTTTCAAGGATTTGCAGAAATATCTTTAAAAGTTGCATTTAATGGTTTTTTGAGCAGATCCTTTTAAAGCAGAAAACAAATATGGACCATAATCCTTTGACACTTTAATAATTTAAAAAACACAGAGTATAGGAAACATAAAAACGAGTATAAGAACACAGAGTATAGGAAAACATAAAAAGATGGCACTTCTGACAGACACATGCCAGCACTGCCTGCAGGTTAATCCATTCCTGCTCAATTTTAAGAGGTGAACCTATAATGATACACAAAGTTGTTTTCATGGCATCATTGTATTTCAGAATTTCATCATTTTAAAATTAAAACTTTGGGTCTAAAGGACCAAGAAACACATCAGAAATACCTCCCTCCCTTTCTAATTTTAATTTCCATTTAGCAAACATTTGAATATATGAATTTCCCCCATGTACTGCTAGGCAGCAGAGATACAGTGCTGAGCAGAACCAGCATGTCATAAACATCAAATCATCCTTGTAGAAGGACAGAAAAAAATGAAGCAGCACATTTAAGCAGAAATGGGCTTGCGGGTGTTAGTCTGTATGGTTGAATCCTGGGAGAATGGAGGAAGGTGTGGCTGGAAAGATGAGCAGGAGCCTGCTCATGAAGTACCTCATTATACTAGTGAGGTACATATATAGGATAGAACACTGTAATTATCTTCTCACCTTGGTAGACTGAGATATTCCATAGAAAGAACCTTCTATGATAATTGAAACACACCTAATTTGCCAGATTTCATTTTTATTTTTTAAAGAATGCTAATAAGAGCACATTCCTTTTTAAACAAAGCATGCTAAATATATGTTAAAGTTTTTTTTAAAACTGAGATTCTCTATTAAAATTATTTTCCTTTCCTTTTTATACTGTAGTTTATCTCATTTTCACAATGAAATGAGCTATTTTATTTTTCGTAATTACTATCAGTATACCATATGTAGAAATTCAAACAGACAAAAAAGTTTATGGAAGAAAGTAAATGTCACTTGAAATTTCACTTCCTAGAGGTAGCCACATTTGACGTTTGGGTTAAAATTCACCCATTCAGGTGTGTATGCATGGCTACCTCGTACCTCCTTTCTCATCTATCTATTGCCAAGCTAAGATCATCTCTGCTTGCTGTTTTGTGGCAGGCTCTTGTACCATTCAGTGCTGTCAATGAGAACATGCACCATGGTACTCTACAGATTTATAGCACCTAACACAAGGGTAATCTGAGGGGATAACCACACTTCTTAACTTATGTTTAACTAGGTCAATAAACTAATCGTAACTTTGTAGTATAAAAGCCACACACCAATAAGGATTTCATAGAGTATATGAAGAAATGAAGTTGTGGGTAAGCACATTGTTATTGAATATTGACATTCAGTCTGTGAGAACTTGTTTGTTCTCTTATCTCCAATTAGGCTTGTTTAATGAATAGAATATAAGGGTGCACTTAAGATCTTCAGCAGTATCATAGTTGACTGAATTTAAAACACCTTGCTTGGTAGTACTGTTATTATAATCATGTCATGAAAATAGCCACATTACATTCTTTAATAGTTCTTTAATAGTTGTGTTTTTCTTTATGCTACTTTCCTTTGTGAATCCCCAACAAATATGTGCACAGCCTTTTTTTAATGTCCCTGTTGAATGACAACTGAACCCCAAGATCCAGTTCAGGTGACCACCCTACTATGATGCTCTTTTTCTCCCACCATCCCACCCCCAGGTGTACACATATACCCACAGAGCTAGCAACCACTCTCCTCAATTTTCTAGTCATGGTCTGCACTGACATTTTCTATAGGACTTCTTAGAGTATTATTTACTTTGTCCTCAGAAATCTCTTTGAGAGAAGAGATTTCATCTTTGCAGCCCTCATTGTCCAGTACATGACACACAATAGATACTTGATACCTGGAGGAAGTTCTGCCATAGAGGCCTTATCAGTCATCAGAGAGCCGATGATCAAATCATATTAGCTTTGCCGTCAATTTGGCAACCATGTAAAATCAAGTCATGATTATTTTTCATGGAGACAATAAAGCCATGCTTACTTAGAACTTTGACATAAACTCTATGCAATGTATGTCACACAGACATAATGAAAACCTCAGTGAAAAAAGAAAATTGTGGTGGACCGGGTGTGGTGGCTCATGTCTGTAATCCCAACTGTTTGGGAGATGGAGATAAGAGGATCTTGGTTCAAGGCCAGCCTCTGCAAAAAGTTAGACACACCCTATCTCAAAGAACAATCTTGTTGTAGTTGTGTATACCCTGAGTTCAAAATCCCAGTACTGCCAACAGCAATAACAAAAAATTGCAGAATTATAGTAAGTCCATTTAATTAATTTTTAAAAGTATACATCATGTGTTTGCAGACTTCTATATAATAGGTATTGGACATATGAATTGAAAATATCTATCATATGTTCTCCCTCATATGTGGACATTAGATCAAGGGCAAACACAACAAGGGGATTGGACTTTGAGCACATGATAAAAGCGAGAGTACACAAGGGAGGGCTGAGGATAGGTAAGACACCTAAAAAATAAGCTAGCATTTGTTGCCCTCAACGCAGAGAAACTAAAGCAGATACCTTAAAAGCAACTGAGGCCAATAGGAAAAGGGGACCCGGAACTAGAGAAAAGGTGCGATCAAAAAGAATTAACCTAGAAGGTAACACACACGCACAGGAAATTAATGTGAGTCAACTCCCTGTATAGCTATCCTTATCTCAACCAG